TTCTTCGGTGAGTGTGGTCTGCCTCAGGTGTTCCAGTGGGGCGAGGGCAGCTGGGGCAAGGCTGTGGGCAAGGACGCGGTGGAGAACTCGAACTTGGGCTTTGACAAGGAAGAGGAGGCTCGCGAGAAGGCTCGCAAGGAGGCGGAGGCGGCAGCGAAGCGCGAGGAGCAGTTGCGTCGCTCAGCTCCTGCCTACAACCCTGTGGACCGCAGTGCGCCGGAAGACCATTCAATTGAAAAGGTGCTGAACGAGATGGACGACACGTTGCAGCTTATTGCTGCGATGCCGTACCTTGATGAGGACGACGAGCAGCAGCGTGCCATTAAGGTGCACTTCGAGCAGGGCTCGGGTCTGGATGACCTCGAAGCCCAGGGTTACACTGTTAAGGCTGGTGTGATTAAGATGTGGCAGGGTGAGCGTGATCTGAACACACTCATTCAGGGTGTGAATGCCGACTCAGCCATTATTCTACAGCGGATCCTGTTGCACGCATTTGACATCGAAAAGCAGTTGAACGAGATCATCGCCAATGGAGGAGTTGATGACGAGGATGCTGCTGACGCCCAGAGCAAGTAGAGACCAGAGCAAATAGAGACCAGAGCAGCGTGCGTGATCATTCTTAAATGCACGTAATGTATTTTTCGCAACAGTAAGGCGTCTATTTTTTGAGGCCAATCATGGTACAACCCGGTTAATCAGATTTTGACTGCCGTTAAGGAATGCCGCCAGGAAATGCATCCACGATAAAGAGGCATACATCGAGAAGTGCCGAGTCCAAGAATGCGATCCGCGCAGCCGTCCCAGACGTCCGATGTGGCTCAGCTTTACTGCAGAAGGGAGGCGGTATCAAAAGCAACAATAGTGTCCACCCAGTTGCTCCTATCACTCGGTCACTGGTGTTGACGTCTTTAACGGAGGATGCTGAAAACGCTACAGTGAACACTTCAACGACCCAAAATGCACAAGACTACCTTGTCAAGGTGCGAGTGTTGCACGGAATCGACTTACATGTTCACAGTACGAAAACTACTTGCCGGCATCCAGCGCTACCTGAGGTCAATGTTACAGTCAATGGTAGTACAACGCAGTCTTGCACCGCGGCTCAGCATGCTCGCAACCATTCCGCGTGGAAGAAACATGAATTAAAGTTCCATGTCAACAGTAGAAACCAAAACCCAGCACAGTCCAAGCCTGACGAGGTTATTTCATCTTTCATCACGATGTACGTATCATTAACTTGCATGCCTTGCTCGTGTGCATCCAAGATACCGGATAAAGCGATTGCAATTGGAGAAGTGGGGGTACTTCAGTTCCCTACCAAACAAAATGGGGATTACGAGATCTCGCGTTTCTTTCCAGTCATCAGACGTCAGCAGCGAAGTTCTCAATCCTCGTACGCACTGCTTCCTGCCGGAAAAATCAAGCTTTGCATACGCGTGGAAGTAGAGAAGCCCGTTCCGGACCGTGTTGAAATTCCCAAACGCCCTCCTTTTGCACTATCCAACTTTGGAGAAGCTCTCCAGCTCAAACGGAAACAATTGAAAGCCACAGTTGTGCCAGAAGACAATTCACAAAAAATGAGTAACCAGCAACTGTCCCAGTTTGACTCGGATGCTTCTTTGCAGTTGTTAAAGGAGATCACCATCGAGGCAACGCGCGATCTTGTTAACGCAGAGAACTTGAAAATCGAAGGACGAATTGGAGAAGGCATTCACTCCTGTGTTAGTCTTGGTACTTTGCAGCAAGAGAGCGCTCAGCAAGTTGCAGTGAAAGAGTTTCGACACCAACACACAGTTCCGCCCGTGAATGTCCTCCGTGCTTTTCAACAAGAGTATCAAATTCTGAAAACGTGTCGAAGCCAGAATGGTAATGAGTACATAGTTGAACTTCACGGCGTGATATTGGAACCTCGTTTGATTATCCTGATGGAATATTTCAGTCACAACAGGTGAGCAATCTTGCTGTTCGTTGTACTTTCGATTCACTGACTCAATGACGTGTCTATCTTGCTACAGCTTGGCTCAGTGTTTACTGAATGAAGTTACGTGGGGTCAAATGACAATGAAACACGTACGTTAACATTCGTGCACAGTCTTAAAAAAAATAAGCTCATATTCACATTTGACTTGATCAGAAAGCAACACTTGGCTTGAAAATTGCACGAGGAATATCGTGGCTGCACATGCACGGCATGATTCATCGAGATATTAAGACCCACAACATCCTTATCGGCGATGATCTAGCCACACCAAACCCAAGAGTAAAGGTAAGCATTGCAACATACACCAAAAGCCATGTACCTAGTCAGATATCTGTGGATTAAGCTTGTTTTCTACAGATCGGGGATTTAGGTAGTGCTATAGTTTGGTCCCAAAACGACCCACTTCTATTGGAAGAAGTGGGGTCATCAGGATACACTGCTCCGGAGATATTCACTCACCAGGGCTACGATCGCAAAGTCGACGTCTGGAGCTTTGGAATCGTGCTATGGGAGCTAACGGCAAGCTCTATACGCAATCGTGTCAATCCATTCACGGGAGTCACAGGTGAGGAGTTGGTGAGCAAAGTTCAAAGTGAATGCCGACCCAATTTCGTCCACGCACATCAACTCTGTGTCAAGCCTATCGTGGAGAAATGCTGGATACTCGATCCATCCCAGAGACCAACTATGGACGAAGTGGTTAGTGATCTAGAAAAACTAAGCACTGAGCTTTGATATCCAAATGCTTGTGCAAAAATGGTATACGTGAAGATATTTGACGAACAATCTCTAATTGGCCTTGCTGCTTTCTTCCGGTTCTTCGTCGTCATCGGGGTCGACGCCACCATTAGTGAGCATTTCACGCACTTTTCTCTCAATGTTGAGCGTGTGGAGCAAGATACGCTGGAGAATGAGAGCTGAATCGGTGTCCACACCATCCACCACCTTCTTGAGGTCGCGCTCACCCTTCCAGATCTTGTGAGTACCGGGTTTGATGTTGTACCCACGCTCATCAATCTCATCCAGTCCTTGGCCCTTCTCGAAATGCTCTCGCAGCTCGCCATACTCCTCTTCATCCATTAGAGGCACAGCAGCGATGATTTCAAATACCTCGTTCAGTTCATCCAAAAGTTTTTCAATAGAGGCATCCTCCGTCGTCGTTTTGCTATCGTCAGGGTTATACGCTGGTACAGACTGTTTCACTTCCTCTTCGCGCTTCGCTGCCGCCTCCGCCTCCTTGCGAGCCTTCTCGCGAGCCTCCTCTTCCTTGTCAAAGCCCAAGTTCGAGTTCTCCACCGCGTCCTTGCCCACAGCCTTGCCCCAGCTGCCCTCGCCCCACCGGAACACCTGAGGCAGACCACACTCACCGAAGAACCGACCCAACGCCTCCTCCACCAACGTGTTACACGCGCCCCCCGTCGTGCGCAACTGCAGATCCACCTCTTTGAACTCGCCCTCCACCGGCGTCTTCAGGAAGAACGGCAGCACAAGAGTCTTGGCAGGAGGAAACTCGTTGTGTTTCTCAATCGCGTCCAGAATGCCTAGTAGCTCCTTGTACGATTCCTCGTTCGCGCGCTGCTGCTCCGGATAACGTCCGAACAGGTCCGGGTGCGTGCGTAGATAAAGTTTACGCAGTGTGTCCTTCAGTATCGGCACCTTGCCTCCTTTCTGGCTTTTCATCTTGCGCAGATTCTTGCGGCGTAGTGCGCGCTCGCTCACTTTGGTTCGCACGGAGCCCAGATTGCTGGTGCTTGACGACAGGAATGGAGGTACTATTGCACAGGACGAGCGCTGCCACTGCATCTGCTGCGAAGGTAGAGCATTGCTCAACGCTGGAGAGGCGCGCAGAACACTAGACAGGTAGGATCGAGAAGCGCGGGCCGCGAGACGAGATGTCGTAGCGAAGGTCATAACTGTTGGAAGAGCTCAAACCAACGGTTAAGGCGGGTTTTTTATGGCGTTGGAAATAATAAATTAGTTTCAGTTTTAACTGTTCTAAAATGTACGCGACGCGGGACTCGAACCCGCAACCCCCAGATTCGAAGTCTGATACGCTATCCATTGCGCCAGCCGCGCTCACGATTTTAGGAGCCAATTTTTATAATAATAAAGAGAGTGGATCCTGTCCCAGACTGGCAGATCTTGTTTCTTGTTTTTAGCATTCCCTGGATTTTTCACAAAACTAAATTTCGCAAACGGTCCATGTATACATACACGCTCTGTATACATTTTCATTTTAAAATATTAACAACTGGCTGTCATTCATCGACTTGCCAAGCAAACGAGTCAACCACAACACCGGAACTTGCTCACAAGAGACGATTGCATGGACCCACCTGCCCCAGGTCCTGTGGGGACTGAAGCTACAAGCTGTCAGCCGCCGACTCAGCTCACGGTTACTGGGAAAAGAAAAGCTACATGCGACGAAGCATACACGACGGCGGACAATGCCGCTACGAGCCGCAATATTACGGGGTCGACAGACACAGGCGACAATAGACTGAACGTTGGAAGTGATATGCAAAGAAGATCATTTTCGTCGTGGCAAGCTTGTGAAGCATATCTGTCTGAATACGAGGGACTGACATTCCAGGTAATGGCAAAAGTACAGTATTCGCTCTGTCTAAAAACGCTGAACTAACTGCTATAATTCTCATTCTATACAAATTTCGCGTTCGATCCACCAGGACAGCAGTAGCGCGGAACAAAGCTATTGATTGCGAGAACTCTTCAGCTCGACTCATCCCGCTAGAATGGAAGTTCTACGCAAAGACCTACGAGTGCACACATGCTGGGATTTACCAAGCCAGAGGGGAAGGAAAGCGCTCTCGTCAGGAGTCACGCGCCTTGGACTGTAAAGCGCAGGTACGTTAATTGAACAAATTAATATTGTTGTTAGCAATTGTTATTTTTCAGATTCTAATTTGTAAATGCTGTAGTTTATCTTGTGTGTCCGCTGCAATGGACAAAATGGAGAGTTTACATTGTGTGTGACCAAGACTACACTTGTGCATAATCACGCGCTAAGCCTTCGTACGTTCCAGCACTATCCTTCAACGAGACTGGCAATACCGAATGAGGTTATGGACACGGTCGATGTTCTTCAGCGTTCTGGAGAAAAAAGCAAGAGGTTGCTCAAATACATCAGAGAGAATTCAAGTTGTAAGGTAGTAGGGCGTGATGTGCACAACTTGGTGGCTCGCCGTAAAGCCAGCGAATCTGGCTCAAGCACAGTTGCGGACAGACTACACAAATGGGTGGCGGAGTTTGCCAATGAGCCTGGCAACATCGGACGTGTTTTTGTGAGCACGGTAACTGAAAAGGTATGGCGTGCGCTTCAATTTGACGGAACACTGACTGATGCGCTTATTTTGCCATTAAAAAATTGCAACTTGCGTAACTTTACAGACTCGAGCAATGCGTGAGATGTTCAAACGATTTCCCGAAGTCCTGCTCATCGACGTCACCCATGGAACCAATGTATCGAAGTACAAAGTGTTTTCATTTATGACACACGATGCCTTTGGTCATGGCCAATACGTGCAGCACGCAGTTGTGCAGAACGAGGGCTACGAGACTTTGCTCACGGCAATAGAGACTTTCAAAAAGCACAATCCCGATTGGACGAAAGTAGTAATTGATAGACTTCACAGAGATGAGCGTTTTGAAGACGGCGTTTCCTGACGCGGTGATACTCTTGTGCCAATTTCATGCTATCAAGTATTTACACGAAGAAATTGCACATTCGGAGTACGGCTTTACGACATGGCAGAAGGAGCAGCTGAGATCTGTGATCTGCATGTTGGTGTATGCAACTACCGAGCGCGCCTACCATAGGCATCGAGCTTACTTGAGGTTTTGGGTCAACTTGGGCTCTGCTGGTACCGAGCCCTCGTCTACACAACCAAGGCATCCGTTTGATGTGTATTGTACCAACAACTGGGATAACTGTACGGGTATGTGGTGCACCTACGAGCGGCAGAACGTTGTGACCCTTGGAAATGATACGAACAATCGATTGGAGTCGTCATGGAAGCAACTTAAGGAT